ATTATTGGAGCATCAGACGAACAGCTTGATGTTTTCAATGAAGTTTGGATCACTATGTTGTTAAACAGTGGTCAAGCTACAAAAGGTATACCATTTCAGTGAACCTCAACTTTTGTTTTTATTTTTTCCTTTTTTTTTTTTTGGATTAGTACCTTTTGATATTCACTTAAAAGTGTCGTAGTCACTTATGCTTAAGTTGCGATTTTGGAACTCACAGCTATTCAGGCGATAGAGAAGCTGCTAAAGAAGAGGGAAGGAACCCCGTTCTTATGGCGCCTCCTGGTATGTCTTAGCTCGCTGCTCCATAATTTTGGCTTCAGCTGAATAGATTGTTCAGGAACAACTGCACTTTTTCCTTGCCATCTCTTAGGTTTTGTCACTCCTAATCCAAGTAGTGTCAATTGCCTCACATAAAACCTTTAATCTTTTCTGACATGCCTCAACAAGACAAATTGATGATGAGGAATTACAGTTTAGTTTGACTTTAGTTTCTCCAAATTCGGCAGTAATTTTATGTAATAATATGAAGGTAAATGGAATATTGTACCAACAAAGAGTGTTCTTTCATGTACATATGCAATTATAAGTATCTACATACACATATTCCAGCTATAAAAATGTCCCATGCGTCAACAATCAGCATTTAATGTCCTGATAAGTTTCTAATGGCACAAAAGTTTGATGCGTCAATAACAGTGCGCATTCCAGTCATCATCATTTGCTCTTCTTTCTCTCCACCGGTACATTCACACAGCAATACAAAGGAAGAGGTTAAGTAAAGAGATTATTTTCTTACAAACATTAGGAAAGATAGACTAGTGAATAAAGTACCAAAGTGAATGTTTTTAAGTATGAAATATGTTTGGACCTAGATTTCAAACTTTTAATGTCCATAGATTCACCTCTTGGCAAAGGGCGCAAACATTGGAGATGCCACCAGAAGCCCAAACATGAAAGCAGATAATATGACACCATAATAAAAATGATTCAAATTAAAATCACCCCAGCAAACAAACAGAAACAAGCTCATGATAACTTCAAAGTTAAGCAGAACCTGGTAGGAAAGATTACAAATCACATAGAATACGACAAGTAACCTGATTATTCGCAGCAAATGTGTCATAAGCAAATAGTTCAGATTAGATCAAGAAAGAAAAAAAAGCAATAAGGATGCACCATCTTACACCCTGCTCAATTTTAACTTTATCTAATACAAAGGCTAAATCTTTCCAACTATTTTTGCCACTTTCTGGTCCAAACATAGGATGAGTCCAAAGAATATCAAAATAGGTAGACAAAACTTGTTAAAAAAATATTATATGGGAATTTTTTAACAGACAAAACATCAACAAATAATGTATTTATTTTAAGCAATTGAATTGGGAGTGATTTGAGCACAGGTTCTGGGAAAATAATTGAAGCACAACGTAAAATAACATCAAGGTGTTGCTCAGAAGGTCATGTGGATCTGGAAAAATTAATTAAACACACATTGAACATTCTTTAGGTGTTTCATTTTTTCAAGATCCACATGACCTTGTGAGCAACCTGCGGATGTTATTCTACGAATTTGTGTTCAAATCACTTCCAATTCAAAAACTTAAAAGAAACACATTGTTTATTAATGTTTTGTTTGTTAGAGAATTCCCCGATAATTTTTTTTTACAAGTTTTGCCTTACCCATTTTAATATTCTTTGTACTCACTCTATGTTTGGACCTGAAAGTGGTAAAGATAGTTGGAAAGATTTGGCCTTTGTGTTTGATAAATTTAGAATTGGTGAAAGAAGAGTGTAGGATGGTGCATCCTTATTGTTTTTTTTCTTTGATTTAATCTAAACTATTTGCTTATGATGCATCTACTGCGAATTATCAGGTTACTTGTCGTATTCTGTGTGATACGAAATCTTTCCTCCTAAGTTCTGCTTAACTTTAAAGTTATCATGATCTTGTTTCTGTTTGTTTGCAGGGGTGATTTTAATTTGAATCATTTTTAGGATGCGATCATATTATCTGCTTTCATGTTTGGGCTTCTGGTGGCATCTCCAATATGCGTGCCCCTTTGTCAAGACGTGAATCCATGTACATTACAAACTTGAGATCTAGGTCCAAATATATTTCATACTTACGAACACTCACTTTGGCACTTTATTTATTGGTCTAAATACTTTCCTATTGTTTGTCAAGAAAACAATCTCTTTACATCGTACTTTGCATTGCTGTGTGAAAATACCGGGGGAGAGAAAGTATGCGAATGATGATGACTAGAATGCACACTGTTGTTGATATATTCTGTGGAATGTGTCTCAATTTTGAGGACTTTTTATTCAGAAGTTGCATCAAGGAATTAAAGCAAATCCAATTATGTATTTGTTGATTCAGTTTAGGAAAAGTGTAATTATTTTGGTTATGTAAGACTGTTTAAAAATGAATGAAGTTGTGATTATACTTTGCTAGTATTTTGGATAACCTTGGTTTTGGACCTTTTGGTTCAAGTGAAACTTGTTATAAATGCATACAGATGCCCACATTTTGTTATTGATGAATGAAGTTGTGATTATAAATGCATTAAGTGATGTTCCTATGTTCTGTTATTCGTTTTCTCTTTTATGTATTTGGTCCTAGTTTAATTTGGTAAAAAAAATATGGCATTCTAGATGTAAGCATGTAGTTGTTCCTCTTGGTTATAAAATTCGTGTGACAAGACATTATCTGTCTAGACACCATTTTGCACGATAATAATTTTAGTCTTGTAAAAAATATGGGTACAAAATATGAATACCCATATTATCCGTGAGTTTATACGTTCAAAAGATGGGCGGCTTGGGTTTTTTCCTAACCCATATTTGATCCAACCCGCCCATTTGCAAGCACTAGTCATGATTAGTCTCATTGGAAAAATAGTTAGAAGTCCTGCAGTGTATCTAAAGGTGTCAAAATTGGCCTAGAAAAATATGACCCACCAAGGTTGGCCGGTCATTGACCTGCCTATTTGTTGAACTTACCCTATCTAAAGTTGGGCTGATTTACTTTGCCAAAATATCTTTAAAATAATCTTTTTTGTTTGGTATGTTATATATGACCATAAAAAAAAGAAAACAATCTTATTTTGTAATTAAATAATTCATAAGAAAATAACACATATTAATTAAAGCTTGGTAAGAGTTGGACGGCCCTACACGTGGGATTACACTGGGTTGTTGTTGTTGTAAGAGTTGGACGGGTTAGACTATGACCCAAATTTTAGCCCACCTTGAACCACTTCATTGCAGCCCAAGTAACTTTTGAGCGGGTCAAAGACCCTCCCATTTATTGACATCGACTATTTTGACCCACCCAAAATCAGTCAAGCGCGCATTTGACGCCCCTAAGTTTAAAAAAGATGGCAGCTCAGTGCACTAAGCCTCCCGCTATGCGCGGGGTTCGGGGAAGGTCTGGACCACAAGGGTCTATTGTAAGCAGCTTTACCCTGCATTTATGTAAGAGTTTGTTTCCACGGCTAGAATGAAAACAGCCGAGAGGTGTATGATGTATGAAATGAAATTAAATGGGGATATAGCTGCAGTCTTAATTGCGAATCTGAGAGGTGCAATTTCCTTTGGAGGACTTCTTTTTCTATAAAATTCCACCTTGTGATGTCAAAGGATCAGGCACAGACCTATACCAGTATATTAGAGTCTAAAAATTAGACCTGAAGTCTCAGTACACCTGACCACTTTCAAGTCCCATGTACTATATAGATTGAGAACTCTATTATCAGAGGCAGTAAATTGGATTATCTTGTATTATTGTTGCTTCTTGGTGCAGGAAAAAAGTTATTCAATGTCAAGAAAGCAGGAAGCAATAGATGCAGGCAAAAAAGCTCAGGCATTGGAAGCGGCATACTTCAATTAATCAATCCAGCAGAGGAAGATAGCTATCAATATTAGTGATATTTCACTTGTATTCCTCTTTTCTAGAATTTGAGTAGTGCTAAAATGTAAATTTTCTCCCTGTTGTATTTATAAATAAAGCAGTGTCCCCTGAGCCAATTTTATCGTTGGAAGCTGGAGACACTCTGTGCAGGTTAAGATGTAAGCTCTGAAATCTTAAATAAATGGACTGAAGTTTAAGTTTTGTGTATTGTATGTTTCACATCATCAATTGAGTTAACTCACAACATTAATTTTTCAAAACAAGTTTGATATTGTTACTTGAAAAACAAAACAATAACATGTTATTTCAGCTGAAATTATTACAAAGTGATTTTTTTTTACATTATCGGTGTATACAAGACTTAACATGGCACATGGTATGGTAGTTCTGTGCCATAATGTTGGCCAATAATCTTGTACTCTTTTAACTCACGAGGTGACCTTACATTACTTCTTGTTCCTTTTTGCCTGAATAACTTGCTTTTTTCCCCACACCTGCTCATACTTGTAAACAGAAAAAGTCAAAACCATGTTTCCCAAATATTTAAAACTTAGATGGCTCCAATTTTTAGTTGAAAAGGACATGAAAATAGTGTCAGTATTGCAGTTTTGGTATGAAAAGAGCATCCAATACTATAGCTTTTCCTATATAGTAGAAATGATTGTTTTAGGTAGGTTGTTTACATTATACCCCTTAGGGTGCGATTCTTCTCCGAACCTTGCGCGAAAGTGAGATGCTTGGTACACTCTACCTTCTTGATAGTTTAATATAAGTATTTTCAAGTTAGCTAAGTTAGCTTTTTTGCATGTCAAAGTGTCTGATAGACTAAGTTCCTTCTGTACATTTGAACCAAAACTAATGGTTAAAAAAATTGTAGTGTATTTTTAGATATGAGAAGATCTCTATTGAGAAAAAGGGCTATCATTATTTTCTCAGAATTAGAATCAACCTAGCATTATCTGATAATGCACAAATTTATTGTCCAAAACAGTATTCAAGATCTTGTTTGAGCTTTGGGAGTAATAACATTCTCAATAATGATCAAGGTAAAGTCAAAAAGCAAAAAGTAAATTCACGAGGGGTTGTGTATGTAAGAAACAAACACTAAAGAAAGTGGGATCGATTCACATTCCATTTTACCACAATCAAACAAAACTTCACCTGACACCTTTTCAGTCCAAACCCCCACCCCTACCCCACATGTGTAATTCACATTTGCATTTTTTTTTTCCAAGTAACTTGTGCACAACTGATTATTCAATGAGATAATTGGTACCTCTCATTAACACAAATATCATGCACAGCTTGACTCTTCTATTATAGATATCGACTACCTCCCATTAGTACAATAGTCGCGCAGATTGCGACTATACTATCAAATATAGACTAAGTGTATCAATACAAGTACCGTTAACTCTGTCAACCAAAACATGCAGACTTAGTTGATTAATCCTAGTCCATCAGGAACCACCATGTTACTAGAATTTGAAGTCCTCAATATACCACCACCACCACCACTTCCAACTCCTCTTGCCCTTCCCCTTATCCGTCTCAACTCTGCCACCACATCCCTTGAATCAGGCCGATCATCCTTATCGGCCGCTACGCACCGGAACGCGAGCTCCGCCACCGCACCAACCCCTTCCATCGCTTCTCCATCCACCACCAAAACAGGGTCCACAACTTGCTGCAGCAACCCCATTTGGATTCTTGAAACTACCATATCAGCCAATGCCATTTCCCTCTTCTCCCTCTTTTGGTCCACAGCTTTCATCCCTGTTATTAATTCCAACAACACAACCCCAAAACTATATATATCACTCTTTTCATTCAATCTAAATGACTTGTGATAATCAGGATCCAAATAACCAGGAGTTCCTTGTGGACCTGTCCAAACTTCACCAGTAGAATCACCAGAAGCAACTGTTGCATCAGTGCATACTAAGAGTCTTGAAAGCCCAAAATCACCAACTTTAACCCTCATATCTTTTTCAACAAAAATGTTGGTTGAAGTAATATCTCTATGTACTATAGGTGGAACAACAGAGAAATGCAAGTACTCAATTGCCATAGCTATTTGCAGTGCAATATCAACTCTTAAACTCCAAGTTAAACAACCCTTTTTGTACAAATTCTTGTTTCCATGAAGATGGTCAGCAAGTGTACCATTTGGAACATAGTCATAAACCAAAAGTAGCCCTCTTGGATCACTACAATAGCCATGAAGTTTGACTAAACTTGGGTGGTTAATTGATGACAAAATCAAGATTTCATTACAGAATGACTTTGTTGAAAAAGCTTTAGCCCCAGCTGGAGAATGCTTATGCAAATGCTTAACAGCAACAAGCCTACCATCTTCAAGATTCCCTAAATACACAGAACCAAATCCACCATCCCCTAATTTCCTCTTAGGATCAAAGTGATTTGTTGAGTTTTCAAGTTCTTCGTAAGGGAAAACTGGTGGAAGTAAACTAGCAGACCTATGCCTTCTAAGGTAAATTATTGTAGGATCTTCTTCTGAACCTGAACCCTTTTTTCTTGAACGAAAAATGAAGGTTCCAATTGAGAAAACAACTAAAAAACACACAAGTAGAAAGAGCATTGATAACATAACTACATGATTAGCACTTTTTTGTCTAATTAAAGGAGGTGAATACCTAACTTGAGATAAAGGAAAACATAAAAATGGTTTCTTGGGGTGTGAAGAGTTGAATCCACAAGCACCATTATTAGCTCTACAAGTTTTGCAGCTAGAAAAGTAAGAATCTTGATCCTCATCATATTCTACTTCAATACCCATTTTCAAGAAATCATCAAGAAATCCAAGAATATCACTTTGGCATCTTTCATCAGAGTCAAAATGATGTCTTGAACCACATTCATGTAGTAGTGAAAGTGGGTTCTTGATTAGCTTACATTGCATTGGACAGTGGCTGCAATTTGGGAGATTTGGAGGTGGACAAGGTTTTAAAACAGACAGCCTAGAACAAGAAGAATCAGAGACCTTAAATGGAGAACCAGAGATTGAAATGGATCTTGAAAAAGAACAATTCTTGAACTCAGATTCTTGTGGAGAAAGGAGAAGAGTGGAGGAATTAAGCTCAAAATGGAGCAAAGAGAAAGTGAAGTTATTGACTGAAATGAGAGCATGTGAAGGTGAACATTGGATTTGAAAAGAAGGGTGACCACAACCAGGAGATGAAGAAAAAGGAAAAGGAGGAAAAGAAGTAAAAGGTGGACATAAGATTTCAGCTTCAGTTGATGGTTTTGAGCAGATATGAGCTGCAGCTGTCTTATTGCTAACAAGAAAAAACAAGATAGACAAAAATGGTAAAAATGACATTATGTTGATGAACTCCTACTAGGTACTGAAGTCATTCAAATGAAGAATAGCAAAGAAGAAAAGATTGAATCTTGGGGGAAAAAAGGAGCCTTGAATTTATGATCTAGATTTGGGTTCAGATTCTTTAACTAGTAATATTATCAGTGTGCATAGGATGTTGGAGTTTTTTTTTTGGTTAGTAGAGAAGTGGAGTGTATGGGGGTCTCGAGGAAGAAAGAAAAGAGAGAGGGTCACGTGAAGATAATTTAGAAGAAGACAAAAAACAGAAAAAAGAAATGATGAATTGTTTGGTCATTTAGGAAAGGAGACCACAAGGGGCTTGGATTTTTCAAAAGAGAGATCTTGGAGGAAATTTTGTAAAAATAGCACGGTATAGTCAGTTTTCGGACTAGTCATTTAAAAATAGGCAGCATTTATAAAGTCTTAAAATATAGCCACTATTTTACTGCAACAGAGATCGGTCCAGCATGATATACTGGAGTTCGGTACACCTGTGTATGAACTCCAGCATATTATGCTGGACCGATATATTTTGCTTAGACTGGAGCACTAGTGCTCCAAACTCCAGTATATTATACTAGACAATTATACTTGCTGGAACTCTAGTATATTATGCTGGAGTTCTAGTGTACTTATGCTGGAACTTCATCATATTATGCTGGAGTTCGAACATACTTATCCTAAAACTCCAGTATAATATGCTGGAGTTTAAGCATACTTTTGCTGGAACTCCAGTAGAATATACTAGCGTATTTTTCGGGTTTTGAACAGTGTTTTCGCTCAGATTTATCTTTACATGAAAAGTGGCTAAATTTCGATTACTTTTGAAACTGGGCTATTTTTGAACGACCAATTGTAAATCTGATTATTTTTTAATTTCAATTTTGTTTGCTATTTCTTTGAAAAGATTCAAGAAATGTTATTGACCGAGAGTTGTAATAGGATAAATAGGATCTTATCGCTTTTAATTAGAAATCTTGAATTTAATTTTGGCATAATGGCCTGGGAGACACTTGTACTTGTTCCAATTTGTCATCCCGGTCCCTACACTCCATAAAATTTCATCAAGACACTTCAACTTAATCAAAACAAGACTTTAAACCCTTCTGACCGTTGACCGAGCTTATGTGGCATTGATATGGCTGAGGTGGACAACATGAGTGATTTACATGCACATTANTTCTTCATCCCTTCTTTCATTAGATTTTCTCCTTGGTATGTATTTCTTCTTCCATCATGTCATCATCCCATTCTCTATGACTCCTCCATTTTTTCTGATGGTTTGAGTTTTCAAATTTTTTTCACACCCCTTTCAAATTGGGGTAGAGGAATAAGTCAAAATTCAAAAGACTTAATTCTCTGCTCATGTATTTTTCATGGATAGATAACTTTATTTAAAAGAGGAGTGAAGGAAGTAGTGGTACTCATAGTGGAGGAGCCATGGCAGGTGGGTTATTGTTTTAAGAAGGTTGAGTGGGTGGGTTTGAAGAAGGGAGGAGGGATTTTATTAATTTTAATTTTAATTTTTTGCTTTTTTTATTTTACTTTTTGTTTATGAAATTAAAATTTTGTTAAATAATATTATTTTGGCACAGAATCTGATATGGATGCTGATTTGTTATTCACGTCAAGTAAGTGAGCATTACACGATTCCGGAGGTATTTAAAAGTCTTGTTTTGATTAAGTTGAAGTGTCTAGATAAAACTTTATGGAGTGTAGGGACCGGGATGACAAACCGGAATAAGTACAAGTGTCTCCTAGGCTATTCTGCCTTTAACTTTTGGAATAAAAGATCTTGAAACAATATATCTTTAATAGATTACAAAGCTTAGGAGCAATATTAACAATAAATTCAGTGTGTATTTTTATAAGTGGAGTCTCGAAAAAATATTGTATAAAAATAAATTTTATATACACTTTGTGAAGATAGAATGAACGTTTTTTGATAGATCCTCGACTCAATAAAAACATAATCACAATATTATTGCGAAGCTTAGGTACCAAAAGTCAGTTGGAAAACAAGAAAAAGAAATGTTATTGATTTCTTTTTTTATTACATAGAGGAATTCAATGTGAATCTGCTTTGGCATGGGAGAAGAGTCGGTAAAGAAAGGCTATATAAGTGAAAGAGGCCAAGACCTCGTAAACGATGAAAGTCTTCCTCTTTCCCTCCACTCAGCTCAAATTTTCAGACTCAATTCTCACTGTCAGATTAATCTGCTCAAGATTTCTTTTATTGTATAACAACTTTAATTCTTTTTTTTATAATAATTAATTTTTTCAGATATTAAAAAGTAATTAATATTTGTTTTCAAACTTGTTCTTGGAATAAAGAACCTACGAATATTTGTTATATTTTCAATGAACAAAATAAGGTTAATATAGTCAATTTCATTGTTAATTAATTCTAAAAGATAAATGCTTTAATATGTGTGAAAACAACAAAACAATCAATTAAAATGGACCAAAAAAAGTATTCATTATTATTTACTTTCCTCTTCAAAAGAATTATCAAAATTCAATAAAGAGATAAACAGAACCACCAATTTATTTTTTTTAGATTGGAGAAAATGGCTAGTAGTTAATAATGATACTTGTCAATTAACCCCTTCATCTTTTACCTGTCAGGCGTTAAAAATTCTAAATTCAATTCTCAATCAGATTTACCTCTCAAGAACTAAAATATGTAGACATTTGGACAATATTTTGTTGAAATAAAACAAATTTTCCGACTAAATGTCAATTGAAGAATAAAACTAAAGATTAGTTAGTGAAAACTATTGCCATTTCACTTGAAATACTTTTCTAACATACTTCACCAATATTTTAAATACTGAACTTTAGTATTTACAAATATTAAACGTCAATTTTAATTTATTATATTTGGGATCGACTTTAATATCTCTTTAATATTCACTTTAACACCTTCCNATATATATATATATATATATATTATAAAAGATTAGGTAGACAACTATTTGGATTAATTACTAAACAACACAACGGTAACGTTGAAAATATCTTAGCTTCCTTTTTTCACACTCATGTCTTAAGCACTATTAACGAAAATAGGTAATCAAATTCCTGTAAACAAGGAATGGTGAATTATTCTGATTTACTCTCAATCGCAAAATTCTTGATTTAGCTCTGTTCTCGAAATATTTTGCACAATTCTCCTTCAATCTCCCCATTTTCACCATCAATTAACGAACAACAGCTCCTATTTTCTTATACATATTTGTAGTACATTCAGTTCCTTATTTCTCACGTATATGTTTCCAAATTAATTACAACACTTATATTATAGACATAGAGAACATTTCGAGCCTTAGAAACCATTTGTTATTCTTATTTTCCATGAAAATTTTAATGGAAGGAGCTCGAATCATGTGTTGTGCATGTGGCCGTGGTTCAATTGACCTCCCTTTATCCAAAAATTATGCCGTGCAAATAGAGTCAAAATAATTTTTTTTTAATTATATGTAAACTGTTCAATCTTCTTTATATAAGAGAAAATTATATTGTGGTGGTAAAAGAATTTAAAAAAAAACATAGTTTACAAATATCTTGAGGAATATATTTTGCTAAGCGGAATTTTATTAAACCTCAAGTCAACTTTTAGTGATCCCTTAGATTAAGGACTCCACGTAAAAAAAATAATAAGTGAGCGTTTGGACATAAGAATTGTAAAATTTCGGAAAAAAAGTGATTTTTTTTTAATGTGAAATAATATTTGAAAATTAGAGTTGTGTTTGAACATGAATATTATTTGACCAAAAAGTTTTAGGCTCATTTTGTTAAACCAATTTAATAAGTAGATAAAGGGTGAATCCTAGTTAAATGTAATAAATCCCAAATATGAAGTCCAATAATTCTGATGGTGCGAGACCGTGTTCAAGCCAATGGATGTCAAGTTAATGTGCAATGACTATCAATAAATATGAGAATGAAAACATGCAATAAATGTGACAAATGACATTATATGTAATAAGAAGGAATTTGCCACCCAAATATTGAATGAGATGAATGATTCCTTCTACTAACTATAGCGTATGACAACAGACTATGAAAATGAGCAAAGTGTTCTTGGATCTTGTGAATAAAAGAGGAATGTTTAGTAATGGAATCAAACGGAGGAGACAAGACAAGCTTTTTGTATATTCTTGATAGTCAACCCTTTACAAGATGTATTCCCATAAAAGTCTCGAGAGCCCCCTTTTGTTCTCTCTCTTCCTATTTATAAGGGGTATACCTAGAAAACCCTAAAAAAGTACAATTAGGGAAATATTCATTGGAATATTCTTATTCATAATCCTAAGAATATTCTAACCGTTGCTGTTGTTTGTTCTCTACTCGACCTTGGCACTGGCCTCTCTTTCTCTGGGCGACTCCTCGCCACTGGACCGTGTTTGGTTTCGACCTCAGACTCAGCTCATCCGTTTGTATTCACTAAACTCGACCTAATTTTGACCCACACAAATATAATTTTGGATTGTTTTTCAATTTTGGTGAGTGAAAAATTTGAAAAATAGCTTGTTGAAGTTTTTCAAATTTTTGAAAAATTCCAAAATTCATATTCAAGTAAAAATTGAAATGTTATGACCAAACACTAATTTTGACAAAAAAAGTGAAAAAATTATCAATGCCAAACGGGCTCTTAGGAAAAGATCATGCAATTTTTTCTGTTTTTCTTTTTCTTTTTCAAGAATTAACGGGTTATCAGATAGAAAGCACAGCTAGTGCCTAGTGGTGAATCCCTTTCAGTCAAGATGCAATCCAACATGGCTTTGAATATTGATGTATCTTTTAGAAAGTGAAGGTCCAATATGAAGGGCACATTAGCTGCTAATCATTTTTTATCAACTTTCTCATACTAAATGCTTCTCTCCAAGAAATCCTAAATGCAGTGGACAATTGGATATTGATTTAAAATTGGCATTCTCGTTCGTGGTTGATTCAATTTAATGACCGTATTCTTTCTCACAGACACATATCAAATTATAGATTGCAGGGGAATGGCCATATTTATTTTTCAACTTTGTGAAATGGGCCAGATTTGCCCTTCCTTGATATAGTGGAGACTTGAGATTAGATTTACCTATGCCATTATAAAAATGAGCTAAATTTGTCCTTAACGTATGTGAACCTTTCCTACAAGAGAAAAGGGCCAAATTTGCCTGTAAACTATATAAAAAATTCCACATATATTCCACGTATAAAAAGTTATACGAT